CCTCTAATAACTTTTGAAAGAACGATCCCTTTCTCCAAAATGTCCCACCAAAAGGTAGATCTCTCGATTCCTCGCAAAAGTACACGACTTTTTTAAAAATAGACCGGTAATTTATTTTTTTATGAATTTTCGAACGTTCCGGAAGTGCGGCCTTCGGAATCATATTTTTTCTCGATAACTTTCGTTCTAACGAACCGATTTTCGAAAACTCTAAAGAAAAAGAAAGATCTCGTCGTTCCGCACGTAAAGAGTCATATTTCTTGAAAATCCGTCGAGCCGTTCTTTTTTTATTCGGGAAAAACCTAGTTTTTGGCCCCCCAGGCCGCGGGCCCCTGAGGAGGGGCCCAAACGAATATATTTTCTTGATCTACTCGACGAGACCTTTCAGAATCTGCAAAGTTTTAGAGCGTGGCCCTTTCCGTTCTTTAATTATGGACGATCCAAAATGCGTACGAAGGAGGCGAAATTTTGTCAAAGTCCCCACTTTGGAAACACTTTATTTGGAATAACTCGGGTCGATATTAACTTATTTAGACACTCTTTGAAGAAAATGAAAGCCCTTTTGATTTCGCACATTACGAGGGGTCATTTGTGAAAATCCGACCGTAAATTATTTTTTTATTCGGGAAAAAGGGAAAAAATTTTTCCCGAAAAAGCTCATTTTCCTCTAATAACTTTTGAAAGAACGATCCCTTTCTCCAAAATGTCCCACCAAAAGGTAGATCTCTCGATTCCTCGCAAAAGTACATGACTTTTTTAGAAAAATACAGGTAAGTTATTTTTTTATGAATTTTCGAACGTTCCGGAAGTGCGGCCTACCGAAACACATGTTTTCTCGATAACTTTCGTTCCGGTGCACCGATTTTCGAAAACTCTAAAGAAAAAGAAAGATCTCGTCGTTCCGCACCCGAAGAGTCCTCTCTTTGAAAACTGTCGAGGCGTTCTTTATTCGAAAAAAACTCAGTTTTTGGGCCCCCGGCCGTGGGGCCCCCATCGAAGAGGGGCTCTGAACGAATATATATTTCGAAAGTACTCGACGAGACTTTCCGAATATGTGCTTTGTGTGAGGGTGTGGTCCCAAGTAGAGAGTGAGTCGGGTGCCCCCAAAATCGGAGGAAAACAGATTAGAAGGTTCCATGGGCCCCCTTTCGGGCCAGGGCTTCGAAACTCCTACGGGTGTTCCACCACGGACGTATCCGCGGTATTGTTTTGTGCGGAAACCTGCAAATGAGAGTTACTGTGGTAATTTCCTGGACCGGGCGCGCACCGTTCGTGTGTAACGAAACACTCTTTTCGGAATAACTTTCGTTCCCCTGAACCTATTTACGAAATCTTTTAAAAACCGGAAAGGTCTTCTTTTTCCGCACGTAACGAGTCGTATTTCTTGAAAATCCGTCGAGCCGTTCTTTTTTTATTCGGGAAACACCTAGTTTTTGGCCCCCCCCACGGGCCGCGGGCCCCCCTGGAGGAGTAAAACCAAACGAATATATTTTCTTGATCTACTGACGAGACCTTTCAGAATCTGCAAAGTTTTAGAGCGTGGCCCTTTCCCGTTCTTAATTATGGACGATCCAAAATGCGTACGAGGGAGGCGAAATTTGTCAAAGTCCCCACTTTGAAACACTTTATTTGGAATAACTCGTGTTTATTAACTTATTTAGAAACTCTTTAAAGAAAATGAAAGCCCTTTCGATTCCGCACATTACGAGTGGTCATTCGTAAAAATCCGACCGTAAATTATTTTTATCTGGGAAAAACGGGAAAAATTTTTTCTCGAAAGCTTCATTTTTCTCGAATAACTTTTGAAAGAACACACCGTTCTCTCCAAAATGTCCCACCGAAAGGTAGACTGATTCCTCGCGCGCACGTATAGTTTTAAAAAATTCGACCGGTAATTTATTTTTATGAATTGAACGTTCCGGAAGTGCGGCCTTCGGAATCATATTTTTTCTCGATAACTTTCGTTCTAATGGACCGATTTTCGAAAACTCTAAAGAAAAAGAAAGATCTTGTCGTTCCGCACCCGGAGAGTCCTACTTTTGAAAATCCGTCGAGCCGTTCTTTTTATTCGGAAAACCTTTGTTTTTGGCCCCCTTTTGGGCCCCGGGCCCTTCTGGAGGAGGGGCCCAAACGAATATTTTTCGTGATCTACTCGACGAGACCTTTTAGAATCTGAAAGGGTTCTGAAGTCGGCCCTTTCCGTTCTTTTAATATGGGCGATCCAAAAATGAGAAGGGAGGCGAAATTTTGTCAAAGTCCCCACTTTGGGGAAACACTTTTTTGGAATAACTCTCGTGTTTATTAATTTTATTTAAAAACCCTTTTTTAAAAAAATTTTGAAACCCCCTTTCGATTCCGCAATTACAAGTGGTCATTCGAAAAAACCGACCGAAAATTTTTTTTTTATTCGGGAAAAGGGGAAAATTTTTTTTTCCCGGGAAAAGTCATTTTTCTAAAAACTTTTGAAAGAACACACTGTTCCCCCAAAAATGCCCCCACCAAAAGGTAGATCTCTCGATTCCTCGCAAAAGTCTATATTTTTTTAGAAAAATACAGGAAATTTTATTTTTTATAAATTTTTTCGAACGCCGGAAGTGGGGCCCTTCGGAATCATATTTTTTCCCGAAAACTTTCGTTCTAATGGACCGTTTTTTCGAAAACTCAAAAGAAAAAAAAAAGATCTCCGTTCCGCACCCGAAGAGTTCTTTTTTTCAAAAATCCTCGAGCCGTTCTTTTTCAATTCGGAAAAACCTGGTTTTGGCCCCCCCGGGCCGCGGGCCCCGGGGGGAGGGGCCCAAACGAATATATATTTCGAAAGTCTCGACGAGCCCTTTTCCGAATATTTTTTTTTTTCGTGAGGGTGGCCCCCTTAGCGAGTGAGTGGGGGGCCCCCAAAACGGGGGAAAAAACGCTTCCGGGGGGGGATTTGGACCCAGAGTTTAAAAACCCCCTAGGGGTGTTCCCCTGGAGGGGACGCCCCCTGATAAAATTTTTCGTGCGGAAACCCCCGAAAATAGGGGGATCCCGTATGGGGGCCCCCCCGGGCCCACGGGGCCCCCCCTTCGAGGCAGGGCCCGAAAAATATATTTTTCGTGATCTACTCGACGAGCCCTTTTCCGAATCTGAAAAGGTTTCGAATGTGGCCCCTTTCCGTTCTTTTAATTATCGACGATCCAAAATGCCGAAAAAGGGTCGAATTTTGTAAAAGCCCCCACAAAACACTTTATTTGGAATAACTCTCTTGTTTTTAAGTTATTTAAAAAACTTTTTTGATGGGAAAAGAAAACCCCCTCTCGATTTCTCACATTACAGGGGGTCATTTAAAAAAAGATCAGAAAAAAAATCTTTTTTAATTGGGAAAAATCGTTTTTTGCGGTCCCCCCGATCCCACGGGGCCCCCCTTCGAGACAGGGACCCGAAAGTTTTAATATTCTTAAAGCACTCGACGAGATCTTTTGGGAATATGTCCGTTTCGGGAGCCCCGACCGGTTGCGAGTTGGGGGCGAAAAACGAAAACAAAAAAAAATTTTTTTAAAAAATTAAAATTTCCCGTCGAAGTTTTTCAAATCTTCGAGGTGTACGGACGACGTGGTCCCACGCACGGAAAAAAAATTTTTGGGGTTATTTCGATAAAGGGCGGGTTATTCAATGTTGAACGGAAATTTGGGTTTTTTTGAAAATCGTAAAAAAAGTTTCGGCCGATTTTTCCCTTTAAAAGGGGAGCGTTTTTAAGTGAAAAAGAGCACGCCCGTTCGGGGCCCCCCCACGGATTCCGTCGTCGGAAATGCGGAGTTTTCCCGGAACGTTTCAAAACGGTCTATCGAAAATCGGGTCGATTTGGGGAGTTTTTTTAAAAAAAATGGGGAAAAAGGGAAAAAATGGGTTTTTTTGGAAAAAAAAATATCCCGCGCGGCGGCGAATCAAAAAGATTTTTCCGACGGTGTGGGTTCTCGGGGGCCCCCGGTAACGGGAAAAAGGGGATGGCAGTTTCAAAATGGAGGTAAAACGGAAACCCCCCGGAACCTTTTTTTCCGGCTTCCGGTCGTTCCGGTGTACTAACCGGTTGCGCGTGCGGGACCCCTGCCAGTGGATCTCTTTCCCGGGTTTAATTTCGTTCCGGCGCACCGACCCCCCGGGGTGTGGGGCGGCCCCCCCTCCCGATCGTGTCTCTTTCCCGGTATATTTCCCCGGTTCCGGTGTACTACGTTAGTCCACCGGAACGCGGCCCCTACAAAGATTCGGTCGGGGTGTCCCGCTTGCGCCGTGCCGCCCCCGGTCGGAGGAGGAAGAGGTGCTCCCGTCGGGAAAAACCTTTTTGCCCTATATAGGGAGACTCGTTTGAGACGATGAAAATGCACTACATCAGGCTCGTTTCGCTCGTTCAAGCGTTGCCCGGGGGTTTTTTTTCCCTCGGCCCGCGTTTCGTGGGTCCGTCGTCTTCGCTGGGGCGGTTACCTCGCCCCCGATCAATGTCGCTTTGGGATCGGGGCGGTGGACCGCGTGGGGTCGGTCCGGGCCGGGGGGGTTTTGCACCCGTCCCCCCTTTTCCCCCCTTTACGTGAAGCAACCACGTCGTCGTCCGTGACGGCCCCAGAGGCCCTTTCCCGCTCGGGGGGATATCACCCATTTCGGCCTACGGACACTGCCCCCTCGGGGGGGTCCCGTGGGCAATTTATCATCGTGTTTCACCGCCCCAGGCCGTCCGTCTCCGGCTGGGACGGACGGCCGAGGGCCCAATCCTCCCGCTCGGCGGGATACCCCCCATTTAGGCACCTTCCGCGGGGACTCCCTTTTTCCCGGGAGGGTTCCGTCTGCGCCTATTTATGCCCCTTTCGCCCGGGGGCCACCCTTCTTTTTTTTCCGGAAGCGGGGCGAGTGACGAGAAAGGACCCTTTTTCGGGTGGCGCCCCCAAAAAGGGCCCAGGGGGCCCGGTTTTAAATTTGGAGGAAGGAAGAGAAGGGGCACCCCTCGGGGGGAGGCGGGGAAGTGACGGATGGATACCTGGTTGATCCTGCCGGTAGCGCTATGCTTGTTCAAAGTTTCCCCTGCACGTCTCAGTACATGCCGCGAAAGTATAAGGCGGAAACCGAAAGGGTTTCTTTTAAAATCAGTCACGGTTCTTTGGGATCGTGACGCGTTATTTGGGAATAACTGTGGCAATTTTGAGCTAATACATGCAGCCGAGCTCCCCCCCCCCTCCGGGTGGGGAGACGAGCGCTTTTTTGGGGTTCTTTCCCAGGCCAGCGATGGCCGAGGAGGGAAGCGAAGTTGAGTTTTTTGGGCCCGTTTCCAAGGGCTCGCCCCGGCGCCACCCCCCGGTTCGCCTTATCAACTGTCGACGGTAGGTGATGCCCCCTACCGGGGTTCGCCAGGGGTGAGGGGGAAGGGGGGTTCGTTTCCCGGAGAGGGAGCCTGAGAAACGGCTACCACATCTAAGGGAAGGCAGCAGGCACGCAAATTCCCCAATCCCGGCGGGGGGAGGTGGTAAAAAAACGACGCTGGACCCCTACGAGACCCAGTCGTCGGAATGATTTTGGCTCAAAACCCTCTAACGAGGACCCTCCCGGGGGCAAGACAAATGCCAGCCGCTGCGGTAATTTTAGCTCCAGTGGCGTATCCCCTAAAATTGTTGCTTTAAAAAAGCTCGTAGTTGGATTTTCTGCTCTTTTTTGGGGCCGCTCGCGCGGGTCCCCCAAATCGCCCCCGGCATTCTGCTCGCCACGGGGGCCGGCCACCGGCCCGGCCCTCGGTGGCCCGGGTTATCGCTTTGAAAAAGGGGGGGAGTGCTTCGCGGGCTACCCAGGCTCGGTTATAATGCACGGTACGATGGAACTGACTTGGGATCTAGGTCCCGGGGACAGACGGAACCGAGGTGATGATTAATAGGAGCAGACGGGGCTTTCCCGTATTCCGACGCTAGGGTGAAATTTTGGACCGTCGGAAGACGACCCACTCAAAAAGCATTTCCAAATGTTTCCAACCCAAAGAACAAAAGTCAGAGGCTAAAAGAAGATTAAAATACCTTTGTAGTTCGGGCCCTTTAAACGATGCCAGCCAGCGATCCGGCTGGGTACGGTTGTGACGCGCCGGCGCTCGCCCGGGGAAAACCTAAACGGGCCTGGGGAAGTATGGTTGCAAAGCGAAACTTAAAGGAATTGACGGAGGGGCACTAAAGGGTGGAGCCCCAGGCAATTTTCGACTCAACACGGGAAAAACTCACCCGGCCCGGACGTTTTAGGACGAATTACAAATTGATCCCCTTTTGGGGAATATGTGGATGGTGGTGCATGGCCGCAGTTGGTTCGTGGGGTGACCTGTCTGGTTGATTCCGAAAAAGGGAACGAGATTCCCGTTCAAATACGTCTCCCCGTTCGAGGGGGGTTGAAAAAGTCTTCTTAGAAGGACCGGGGGTTTCGAAGCCGTACGAGGGGGCGATTCGGGTCTGTGATCCCAAGATGCCCGGGGCCCCCGTGCGCTACAGTAGAGGGGGAAAGGGCCGGGGTTTTCCCTTCCGTCGGCCTGGGAACCATTTCAGTCCCTCTCGTGCGGGGGATAGGGGATTGAAATTTCCCCCTCCAACGAGGAACCCCCGAGGCGCGGGTCATTAACTCGTGCCGCCCGGTCACACCCTTTGTACACACCGCCCGTGTTGTTCCGATTGAACGGTGGGTGAGGTCTTCGGACCTGCTTATCCGTCGGCCCCTGTGGGCCCAGTGGACTGGGGGGGGAATTTCCCGAACTTGGCCGCTTGGGAGGCAAAGTCTCTTTTTCCGTAGGTGAACCTGTGGAAGGATCATTTGAATCCCTTTCAAGGGAAAATTTAAAAATTAAATCGGAACCCCGGGGCGGGGGGGTCCCTTGCCCCGGGCCCCCGTGGGGGGAGGGGATGTTCTCGTATAGGAGGCACGGCGAAGAGATGCGCCCGTCGCGCACCCCCCCCGACCGCCCTAAATTGAATCGATCCCGAGTCCCGTGCGGGGACTGTTAAATTGTCGATCGGCCCCAAGCTCCGAGCAGTGGATAAACCGGGTGGGAATGAAAGAACGCACCCAAACGCGAGATTTGGTGGGGTTGCAGAACACCCAGATCACTGATTATTGAACGCACATTGCGGCCCTTCCCTTGGGGGGGCCCCCGCCCCCCGAGGGTCGCACCCAACCAAAGGGGACGATTCCCGTGACGGCCTTTCGGGCCCCCCGTCCCCTGGGTCGAGAAGAGGGAATTTCCCCCCCAATGGCGGGGAAGAGAAAAGCGACCTCGGATCAGACGAAAACCCCCAAAAGCATATGGGTAAGGGGGAGGAAAAAAAAAACAGTGATTCCCCAGTAGGGGCGAGCAAAAAGGGGAAGAGCCCAGCCCCGGGAACCCCGGCCGCGGGACCCCTTTGGGACCCGTATGGGTGCGTCGCGCCCCAACCCCGGGGAACGGAGGAAAGGGTCCCCGAGCGGGGCCCTTTGCCGTGGGGTAAAACCCGTGCCCCCCGCCCCGGATGGGAAGGACGACCCCGGAGAGTCGGGGTCGGGGGAGCCCCAAGACGGGAGGTAGCCCTCCTCCCAAAAAACCGACCGCGAGACCGATGAAACAAGTACCGTGGGGGAAAGTTGAAAGAATTTTTTGAAGAGAGCAAGAGAGGGAAACCCTTTTCCCCGGGGAAACGGGTGGGGCCTCGAAGCCCCGGGCTCGGGGGGGATTCAGTCGGGGCCGCCCAAAAATTTTTACCCCCCGGAGGGGAAGTCGCGGGGGGGAAACCCCCAAAGGTCGGGGGGCTTTCCGGGGGGTCCCTTTTGGGTCCCGCCCGATTTCCCCCTTTCGATGGAGGGGCCTCTGCCGCGTTCGATGGGGGAAAAGCGTCCCCCGGGGCGCGTCGGTTCCGCCCCGGCCGGTCGTCGTGGGGGCCATTTCCCGGGGGGTGGCTGGCGGTTCCGTGTGCGGCGGGCCCGGGTTTTCCCGGGGGCTGATGCTTTTGGGCTCGCCCCCGCGACGAGTGGGTCGGTCCCCACCCGACCCGTCGGCAGGGGCCGGGGGTCTTACTGGGGTGGGGAGTCTGGGAAATAATCCCAACGGCGTAGCGAAAGCAAAGGGTCGCGATCCCTTCGGCTTTACAGTCGAGGGGCCGGGGGCCCCCTTTTCCTAGACCAAGGAGGAAGGGGGGGCACCTCGGTAAGGGAAGGTGGTGAACTTTCTGGGGCAGGGACGAAGGCCGAAAACTCGGCTGGGGGCCGGGTTTGACGTCAAATCGATCGCCAGACCCGGTATGGGGGAAAAAGACCAATCGAACCCCCCTGGTACCCGGTTCCCCAAAAATTTCCCCCTCAGGATAGCTGTCCCTTCATTGATGGCCAGTTGGCCCCGTAGAGAGAATGATTAGACCCTTTGGGGACGCCCGTGTCACTCGACCTCTTCTCAAATTTACAAAAGGGACTTGAAATCGGTTCTCCCCCCGATCGGAGACCAAAGTGCGGATCGAGTGACGTGTGGGCCATTTTTTGGAAAGCAGAACTGGCGCTGCGGGATGAACCGAACGGGGCTAAGGCCCTATGCGGACGCTCAGAAAACCCCATGAAAAGGTGTGGGTTTGCTAAGCAGGCAGGACGGTGGCCAGGGAAAGCCGGCACCCCCCAAAGGGAGTGTGTAACAACTCCCCCGCCAAACAACCGGTCCTAAAAATGGATGGCGCTCCAGCGTCGTAGCCCATGCCCGGCCGGGGGCCCCCAAATATGGTGATTTTGGGGGTCACCGGTAGGGGGTGGGTCGGTGGGCGTAGAAGGTCGCGGCGTGGGGTCGGACTGGAGCCACCGGCGGTCCAGATCTTGGGGTAGTAGCAAATATTCCAGTGAGAGCCTGGAAGACTGAAGCACGGAGAAGGGGTTTCGGAACAGCAGGGGAACATGAGTGATTTTGGTCCTGGGGTTTTTACGCCAATGCGTATATTTAAATCTTTCTTTAAATTTAAAAGAGTTGTGAAAAAAGATGAAGACCGAAAAAAAAAGGGGTTTAAATTCCCCCTTTTCCCCGGGACAGGGAAATTGGGCCCCCGGGGTCGATAGGGGCGGTAACGCAACCAAACCCTCGGCGACGTCGTCGGGGGGACCCGGAAAGGGGTTGATTTTTCCCGTAAGACGGCGTGTCCCTGGGTCTCGTCGCGAGGAAAAAGGGCCCGCTGCCGTCGAAAGAGCACGGTCGCTGCTGCCGTGCCCGGTGGCCTCCCCCGGGCCCCTTAAAAACCCGGAGGGAGGGTGTGTTTTCGTGCCGGCCCGGCCCAAAATCCGCAGCAGGTCTCAAAGGTGAAAAAAGCCCCCGGTCTCTAGAAAAATTTGGTAGGTAAGGGAAGTCGGCAAGTTCGACCCCTAACCCAAAAAAAAATTGGCTCTTGTGTCTGGCCCTCTGGATTTCCCTTTTTATTTCGGGAAGCTCCTATCGTGACGGGGACTGGCCCGCTTTTGGGGAGGACCCCGTACTCGGGTGGGGGGGACGGTGGAAGGCCCTTTTCCCCTTTCGAAAGGGGGTTTCCGGAGTGCCGGAGGACGAGCAGGGGAAAACGAACAAGAACGGGCCCACGGACCCGGGAACCAATTGTTAATTAAAACAAAGCATTCCCGAGGGCCCGGAGAGCGGTGTTGACGCAATGTGATTTCTGCCCGGCTCTGAATGCCCAAAGGGAAATTCACCGAAGCGCGGGTAAACGGCGGGTAACTATGACTTTCTTAAGGTAGCCAAACGCCTCGTCATCTAATTAGTGACGCGCATGAATGGATTAACGGGGAATTCCCCCATTTCCCTATCTACTATCTAGCAGAAACCGCACCCAAAGGGAACGGACTTGGCCAATTATCGGGGAAAAAACCCCTTTCGAGCTTGACTCTAGTCTGACTTTGTTCTAAGGCATTAGGGGTAGTCTGGGGGGGAACCCTCCCCCCCCGGGGAAAAGTGAGATGTAAAATTTACCACTTTTGATCGCCTTGGGACTCATTCGGTGATGTTCTAAATTTTTCCAAGTGAAAGAATTGTTTAATCGTGCTTTGAAGCGTCGCCGCTTTAAAGGGGCGATGCGAGGAACCCGAAGGGGTCGGCGGCAGTTTGCCCTGGGGCGGAACATCTGTAAAATGGCAACCGGGTTTCCCAAGGCCCGGGCCGGGCCGGGAGGGAAAACCCCCAGAGAAAAGGGGGCAAAAAGCCGGTTTTCTCTCGTTCTTCAGCAAGGAAGGGGACCGGGAAACAGGGGCCCATCGATCCTTTTTTTTATATTAGATGTGAGAGTCTCACGGGAGAGGGTGTCGGAAAAGTTACCGGAGGGATAACTGGTTTTGTGGCGGAAAAAGCGTTCATAGCGACGTCGCTTATTGATTCTTCGATGTCGGCTCTTCCTATCATTGCGAAGCAAAATTTCCCAAAAGCGTTGGATTGTTCCCCCAAAATTAACGGGAACGTGAGCGGGGTTTAAAACCGTCGTGAGACAGGTTTTTTTTACCCTCATGAAGAGGGGTGTCCCCAGGTCAAACTTGCCCAGTACGAGAGGAACCGTAGGTTGGGACATTTGGTCCCTGTTTTTGGGGGTCCCGCCGGTCCAAGCTACCATCCTGCGGGGGGGAACGGCTAAAAACGCCTTTTCCCGGGGAAAACCCCCCCGGTGATGGGGGAGGATACTCTTTAGTCCCCCCTCGCTTCGAACGGTTTTCGATAGGGTCCGTTTTGGGGGTTTTTCTTCCCCTACAGAAAAGGGGGAGGACCCCCGGGTCCGACGGAACCCATTCTAGCCCGGGAGACTTAAAGGGGGGCCCCCACAAGACTGGGGCCCCTGCCGGGAAGACCCCGCCCCGGGCGGGGGGAGGTGTTGGCGCAGAGTCGTTTTCGGACGATTTCCCCATCTGGAGGGGGGTGTCGTAAGTAGCAGAGCACCCACCACGGTGCGATCTGGGGGGAGACTCACCTCCGCCCGGGAAAGACCCCGGCCGGCCCCGCCGGTCCCCCGGGGGTTTTGAAAACGGCGGACCGATGTTCCGGCGGTCGGTCCGCTGGTTTTTGAGGTGCCCGACCGGGGGAAAAAGGGTCCCGCGGAGGTTGGGGCCGGGGGCCCAAAAAGGGTCGGGGAAAGGGCGGACTCGCCCGACGGAAAGATAAAACCGAGGAGGACGGTCCGAGGCGGGGGATTTTCAACCGCCGCGCTCCGCCGGGAGGGGGAGTGCGAGGTCCGGCCCGGAGGCGAGGGGCCCGGGGGGCCCGAGGAGCGACGGCCCGGACGAGGCCAGGGGACCGGGGCGACGGCCCGGACGAGCGGCCCGAGGGGGGACGGCCCGGCCCGGATTTGGGACGATCCCAGGGTTGGGACTCGACCGAGCATTGTATTGGACCGACGGAAAATTGGGACCGAGGTGTGGGCCCCGGGAGGCGGGTGGGAGTTCCCCGTCGGACCCCGGGACGGCATGGGGAGTCCCGAGGTCCGGACCGGGGAAACGACGGTCCGGGACGAGGCCGGGCGGACCGGGGGATTGGAGCGAGTGGGAAAATTTTGGACCGAGGAGGATTGGAGCGAGTCGGAGTTGGACCGACGGGGGGACTTGGTCGGGGGGGTTGGGCCCTCGACCGAGGATTGTATTGGACCAGGGAAAAGATCGGCCCCGAGAGGGGGTCGGCCCGAGGGGGGCGGTCGACCGTCGCACCCGGGACGGCATGGGGGAGTGCGAGGTCCGGACCCGAGGAGCTCGGTCCGGGACGAGGGGACTTGGGGGCGATTTGGGGTTGGACCGACGGGGTTGGGACCTTGGGTGGAAAGTGGACCCCCCTTTGGGGAATTTGGGGGTTGGACCGACGAAAAGTTTTTGGATCGAGGGGAAAGGTTGGGACCGGGGGAAAACAGCGGTACGGGGTTGGGAGGGGGAGGGGACTTTGGAAGAGAGCGATGGAGAATTGGATCGACGGGAATTGGACCCTGGGACCTTGATACGAGAAGAGGGGCGACTTGGGGATAAGAAGTGGACCGAGAGGTGGCTTGGAAGAGAGCGAGTTTGACTTGGGAGAAGTGGACCGAGAGGACTTGGAGAATTGGACCGACGAGAAGATTGGACCGACGGGAATTTCCCGGGACCTTGGGCCTTGATACGGGGGGGGAACCGGGGGGGACTGGGGGGTTGGACCGACGGGTTGGGAAACCGAGACCGTGGGACCGGGAACCCCCCGAAAATGGACCGACTTGGAGGACTTGGAGAATTGGAACTGGACCGACGAGAAGAATGGATCGACGGGAAGATTGGACCGAGAGACGGCGGTACGATTTGGGACGGGGGCGATTTTGGGCGGAATGGGGACCCGAGATGAGAAGGGTTTCCTACGAAGACGCCGGGGAAATTAAAAGAAGACGACGGTGGACCGAGAGGCTGCGGTACGAGTTGGACGGGAGGGAACCGTGGTGGCTTTGACGGAAAAAATTGGGACCGACAAAATTGGAACCGGGGCCCGGGGGATTTTACGAGATTTTGGGGGGAAATAGATTTGGGAAATTTGGGATCGACGGGAAGATTGGAACTCGGGAGGATCGGACCCAGAGGCTGCGGGGGGTTTTTGGGAAAGGGGCGCCCGGGGGACTTTGACGGGATTTGGGCCCGGGATGGGGGGATATAATCCCCCGGGCAGTTTGGCGCCGGCAGTATTGGCTGTGAAATTTTTTTTTCTCGCCCGGTACCTTCCCGGATAGATTCGGTGGTGAGTGGAGGGTGCCGTCGGACGAGGGGAACCCGTCGGGTGCGAGTCGGACGGGAGTCGACCGTCGTACTTTGACGGGATGGGTAAGTCGAGACTCGTCGGCGAGTTCGACTGCTTTTTCTTTTCTCGTTCCGGTGTACTGACTTATAGATTCGGTAGGCAGTGGAGGCTGCCGTCGGACGAGGGGAACCTGTCGGGTACGAGTTGGACGGGTGGCGACCGTCGTATTTTCCCACTGGATGAGGAGGGACCGTCCGGATCGAAGGCCCGGGGATGTAAGTCTGGGGGGGTATATTACCCAAATTTTCCGGCGAGTTTTGGGCCCTGTTACTCCCTTTTTGATTTTTTCGTTCCGGTGTATTTTGACTTATAGATTCGGTAGGCAGTGGAGGCCCCCGTCGGACAAAGGGAACCTGTCGGGCCGGGGGTTGGACGGGGGGGCGCCCGTTGTATTTTTCACTGGATGGGGGTGGACCGCCCGGATCGAGATTGTGGGGGGGGGTATAGGGCCAAAAACTCGTCGGGGGAATTGGCTGTATACCCCCTTTTTATTTTTTTTTTCCGTTCCGGTGTACGACTTATGGGATTCGGTAGGCAGTGGAGGCTGCCGTCGGACGAGGGGAACCTGTCGGGTACGAGTTGGACGGGTGGCGACCGTCGTACTTTCACTGGATGAGGAGTGGACCGTCCGGATCGAAGGTCCGGGATGTGGGGCCGGGGGGATATATAGCCAATACCGTGGGGCGAGTTTTGGGTGTATACTCCCCTTTTTTTATTTTATTTTCTCGTTCCGGTGTACTGACTTATAGATTCGGTAGGCAGTGGAGGCTGCCGTCGGACGGGGGGAACCTGTCGGGGGGGTTTGGGAGGGGAGGCGACCTTTGGGCCTTTCACTGCATGAGGAGGGGACCGCCCGGGATCGATGTGAATTGGGGGCAGTATATAGCCAATACTGTCGGCGGTGGGCTGTATACTCCCCTTTTTTATTTTTTTTTCCCGTTCCGGTGTACTGACTTATAGATTCGGTGGGGTGGAGGCTGCCGTCGGACGGGGGGGAACCCTTTGTCGGGTACGGGGTTGGAGGGGAGGCGACCGTTGTACTTTCACTGGATGGGGGGGACCGTCCGGATCAAAGGGTTTGGGATGTGCAAGCCGGGGGGCAGTATATACCCAAATACTGTCGGCGGTATTGGCTTTTCTCCCCTTTTTTTTATTTTCTCGTTCCGGTGTACTGATTTTGGGATTCGGTCGGGGTGGAGGCTGCCGTCGGACGACGGGAACCGGTCGGGTAGGGGCCGTACGGGACTTTGACGGGAGAGGTGGGGATCAAAGGGGTTTGAATTGGGGGTGTACGGCCAATACCGTCGGCGAGTCATGGCTGTACACTGCCCCTTTTTTTTTTATTTTCTCGTTCCGGTGTATTTCCGGTGTGGCCCGAACGGTCTTTCCCGGGAGGGTATCTTTTTTTTCGGGCCCGGGACTCGCGGTGGCACGGACCCTCCCTTTCACTTTTAATTTAAAATGTAAGTTTTTTTGGTTTTTTTATACGCGAAATTTAAAAAATTTTATAAGATTTACTGTTCGATCAAACGAATTCTATGTGTACCCGGAGAGCTTCCCAACCCCCAGGCGTGAGGGTTCTTTTTCACGGGGAAATTTTTGCCGCCGTAATTTTTCCCCCACGGGTCGAAGCCTTTTTTAAAAAGGGGCCCCTCGCCCCGGGGGCACGTTTTGGGTATTTTATTTAAAAATTCCTCCGGGCGGTTCTTTTTATGGACGGAAATGTAATTTTCGAGTTTTTCTGATTTTTTTCCTCCCGAAAAAACAAAATCGGGGAAAAAATATATTCTTCAAGTACCGAGAAAGGGTTTCGGGAAAGAGGATTTTTTTTGGGTTTAAACTCCCAAAAAATAGTGATTTAAGATTTTTAAAAAAATGATTACGTGGAAAGGGCCCCATTTGGCCCCCCTTTTTACAATGTCCCAGAATGAGGACTCCCCAAAAAGAAACCCGGGGACCTACGCGGGGATATCCGTTTCGAGAAAATCGCTCGGTAAAATTTTTGAGGGGGGTATTTTAAAGTTTTCTGCCAAGAAAAAAGCCAAACCCCTTGGGGGTCGGGGGGAGTCCCCTCTTCCCGGGAAATTTATCCCACCGAACTTTTTTTTTACGGGGTTAAAAAATACAATTTTTTTTTTTAAAAAAAGCCCATCTCGGGGCGCACGTTTTGTATATTTTTATTTAATAATCCTCCGAGCGGTTCTTTTTTTATCAATAGAATTGTTGTTTTCGCGTTTTCTTTGATTTTTTTTTGGCTCGTAAAAGACAAGTTCTCGGAACGAACATATTCCGAAAGTACTCGGAAAGACCTTTCCGATGAGGTATTTCGTTCGATTCTATCTATGAAATAAATGGGAATAATGAATTTTTAAAAAAAAAGGAAAAAAAAATTTTTCGAAAATCGCTTTTTTTTTAAAACGAAGGGGACTTAATGGGCCGAAAGGGACTCTCGGGGACCTTTCGAACGAGGTATATTTTTAATTTTTTCCATAAAAGCAAAGCGTTTAAAAAAAAAGATTTTTTTCCTAGAAAGGGGGGCCCCAACGTGGCCCCCTTTTTTTACAATGTCCAAAAAATGAGGACTGAAAAAAAGCACGCCGAGACCTATCAGGGGATAAACCCTTTTTGGGGAGAATCGCCCGTAAAATTGGCGCGGTGGAAATTTTTAAAATTTTTTAGGAAGAACTCGCCACCGCAGGGGGTCAGGGTAGTCTTTTTACAGAAATTTATCACACTATAACTTTTTTCTCCGCGGGGCTTAAAAAAACAATTTTTTTTTTTAAAAACCCATCTCGGGGGGACCTTTAGTATATTTTTTTTTTTAATGATCCTCCCGAGCGGTTC